GTGGGGTGGGGGGGGGAGGGAAGGGGGGGAACTGTAAGGGCCTCGCGACACGGCACACGAAACGAAAACGAGACGACGGCATCTGCATACCAAAAGTTGCAAAATACACTCCTTGCTATTTATAGCAAACCGGTGAATCTGGCCACTTCCCCGAGGAGATGCACTCGTTTCGGTTTTTTTTTTTTTTTTTTTGCAAAAGCAATCATCCAATTTATCAAACCACATGCAATTGAGGTTATGTGAAGTCATGCGTGAGGTTATCAAAATACACTCGTTGCTATTTATCAACCCGGAGTTATCCTGGCAGCCTTAGCCAGTTTCGCTGTCTGTCAGCCCAACCTGACGCAAAGACTGTGAAATCAACCGTATCAAGTCTCAGCAGAGGACCACTCCGACAGCCACGGTGGCCCACATTGGTTCTAAACCGAACCTTCGGCCTCCAGTTCCAACCAAAGCTGTTGTGGGCCCACTGAGTGACCAAGTGAAACCCTGCTTTGAAGCTACCCAACCGACCCACTGGTTAACACATACCTACTGATACTAGCATTTATTCTACAGTCAATAGAAAAAATAACAAAATATGAGCCAACAAACAGAAATCCCACCCTGAGTGCATTATCCTCATTCGGAGCGGAGCCACTTGGAGAGGACCAACTTCCCTTCCAGCGTAACTGCAGTGAGTTTGTTCTTTTTCCCCCACTAGCCGAGGAACCACAGCTGAGCCCGGTCTCTGGCCTGTCCTGTTCTGCAGAGAACTTTCTTCCTCCAATCCACTGTTATCATGTGACGAACAGTGGCTTTCATGCCCCTTTTCAGCATGGGGTCCGAGAAGTACTTGCAGTTAAACAGTACAGAATAATTGCGTTCCTTCCAAATCCACCACATAACTGCAGCACGGATAGACACTGCCACATAACCCCACCCCTTGTTGTAATGTTGAATTCCACTGTGTCCTTCCATGTTTGTCTCGCCACAGGAACTAAATCCACTTTGACATTCATCAAACGACGAAAGTGGTTATCTCTCTGTGCCGGGTATACCTTCAGGATTTTTGCCATGGAATTCTCAATGGCCCAATGTAAATGAAAAACTGCACGCAGCGAGACCCTAATCGCCATGACCGAGAATTTACCTGCAGCCTCTTGAGCCTTCATGTCATCGAGCTCCTTCTTCGTAGCCCATCGCCGAAACGTAACAGTATACCGCGCATTTCTTTTAACCTGTTCGGCAGAGCTCTGGCCTCATCCTGGAATATGACGACTACGGTTCGCTCCTGAAGCCATCCACTACCACGTCATCCACCTTTGGGTTTAGAGTGATGGTCGCAGTACGGCCATCTACCGTGCATGTCCCATGGTCTAGACCTTCCGGGAAAATACCGTCCTCCAAACATTTTGCCACTAATGATTTGATACGTTCCTCCTCCGTTTCTTCGGGGGAGGCCATCTCTGACGGGAACAATACCCAGCACGACAAATAACTTAAAGGGGTAACTACGGCGCAGTCACGAAAGCAGTTTGTAATTGCAATTGAAACTGCGTTTTAGCAGTTTAGTCAGGGCCCGAGTTTCAATTGCATTTGATCACCTTTTTGTTTTTGGTTGCGTGCCTAAAACGCAGTTTCAAATGCAATTGAAACTCGGGCCCTGACTAAACTGCTAAAACGCAGTTCCAAATGCAATTACAAACTGTAACCCTGACTGCGCCGTAGTTTTCTCTAACTTAAAAGTATCCCTAGGACTAAAGATATGACTGCTAGCACTCTGATCATAGCGAGGACCAAGAACTTTAGGGTCAAAAAGGTTATCAGTCCATCCTATACTAACTTGCGTGGGGTGCAGGGGTTCGAGGACCGCTTACCGCACCTCGCGAAGGAGGTGTTTGTGCTAAGGCTTTCGAATGAGACGCCCTTCTCCGTTCAAGATCACTCTCTCCCTCCTCTCACCACCGATCGAATCTGAAGGAGCGCTGCATGTCCGGACTTTCTTGTGATATCCGCTGAACATTCCGTCGAAGTGAGAGCAGAGGTCGCGTGATTCCTCACCCCTAGCCTGTCTTTTTTTTTTTTTTTTTTTTTTTTTTTTTGAAACATGCTCTATCTATTGGTGGGGAGCAGCACCTGCTGGAAACCGGGTCCAGCGTCCCATAGATTTATTTATTTATTTATTTTTTGAAAAAGACAAGCTCCATCTATTGGTGGGGAGCAGCACCTGCTGGAAACCGGGTCCAGCGTCCCATAGATACAACCATTTCCTCGCTGATTGATACAAAACTGGGAACCGGGCCCAGCGTCCCATCACGAGTACATTCAGAAATCCCATCAAAAACTTGCCTGAAAAGGAACCAAGAACTACTAGAGAAATCTAATTGGAGCTACGTTTTTTGATTTATAATGGGACTTCAACTTTGAGGCCATTGGAGCTATGCCGAGGGTGGAAGGCATAACCACCTCTTTCAACGTAGCTGGGGCTGGGGCAGTGACCCTGTAACCCGGTTGGGGG